ACTCCCCTCACTGAAAACTGCCCTGCAAAAGTGGCCCTTTACTTTGTACCCGAGTAGGGATCTCCCACCGTGAGAAACGATACGAGAGGGGATCTTGTCAGTTTTCAAGCGGGTGGGCCTATTACCCTACCCAAGCTCTCGAATTCCCGAGTGCTGTATCGTTTGTTGTGGGTATAACCCGAAAATATTCGAATGTCGAATACTTTCGGCGCGTGCAGAATTCTAAAGCCGTAAATGAACCTCCATCTCAACAAAGGCACTTACTGTATAGACGAGAGTCTCAGTGGAGAGGCACGTGCCGCAAAGCCGACGGCTCCTAGCGGGGGTTTCCGCCTCGGCGAACGCCCGTATAGGTTACGGCGACACACGGCGGTCGTTGTGCGGCGAGCGGCCGCGCAGGAAACATTTAGACGGACCGCCGTACGCCCTCTCTGGCGGGGGCTGCGCGGGTAACGGGCGGCGAAATGGGCGGGACTTGTACCGGCCACCTGTTTGGCGTGGTTAGGACTGGTATGATTTTACATGCATCATTTCTTCCATCCTTCCGGCGGTGTATGTTTAATTATTCATTGTATTTCAGCAGCACTGTGCTTGGGTAACACAAGCGTCTCAAGTTAACTGTCATTTTTGCGGCTTTTATTGCCTCAATCCTTCCTATAAACAGTGCGGCAATTGAGTTAGCGATAGGTGTCTATGTAATGCACATCGTAACCTTGTACGTGTTTATGAGGAAGGAGGGCGAATATTTCTCTATAATGCCTTTTAAATATTAGTATTGGCATGTTATCATCTGGTAGGTGAAGCATCGAGTTAATGATCTGAGTTATCTAAATTAAAGATTATTAAAAAGGAAATCAACGCCTTGATGTTGTAATTGATAGTATGGTTGATTATATATACATATAGATATGGTAACTAGAATATCTAATATAAATATTTCAGGTACGCATACCAGTATTCTAACTTATTTGCCCTCGTGAGAAATATACAATTACACAATTTAATGAGCGTTGCATTTTCTAGCATTTAAAAACTTAGTAGTTCTTATTTAGGATTTTAGAAATATTATTTGCTTTTTCATGAAGAAACTAAAACTTGATAATAAGTATGTTTCCATACTGTGAAACGCGCGCGCGCGCGAACTATAATTAAACTTACATCTAATAAAAATTTTAAAAAATGATTGTGTAACGATATATTCACTTAAGGATACTTTTATTTTGAATTTTTGATAAATTTCATTAATATTGATTAAATTTAACTGTATTTGGTAAGAACTTTAAATGAATTTTATCGTAAAATTGCTTTAATAATGTTTTAATGCCTGTTTTCCTGCGTTTTTTACAAGTATTTTTTTATATAAATCCTATTCAATGTAATAAGTACTTAGAAAGAATTTTTAAAAAATTCTTCAAACCATTGAGTGTTGATTTGAAGAATTCTCCCCTCCCCCAGACCTTTTTTTACCGCCCAAAACGATGAATTTGAAGATGATTTGAAAAAAAAAATCAGTTTTCCGCTTTTTCTGAATATAGAATTAAATTTGATTTTAGAAGTAAAAAAAGGCACATATATATTCTTAATTTATCAATATATAAATGACAACAAATTCTTTTTTTAAACTCCAACAACTTTTTTCTCAAGAATTATTAAATTAGTTATAAAAATAGCAGATAGAAAGATTTTTAGGATGATAAAAATTATTAAAATCTTTTTACATCAATATTCTAAATTTGATAATGGTTTTTTTTTTGTATCAAACAAATGTAAGAAACTATACTTTCTTAAATCTAGAAAGAATTTTGCTTGAAGAATTTTTTACATTATCGCTGTATTTATATGGAAATGTTTGTCATTTTATTTGATTCTAAGATAATTTTTTCACTCTCTCTCTCTCTTCATTAAATTATTCTTTGTATTCTTTTTACTCTGCATATCTTCTAGTAAGAGTTCAAAATTTACTTCTGTACTAATATAAGTACTTAAAAACAGCAATTTTGTTGCATAACAGTTCAAACGATAACTAGTTATTTAAAAAAAAAAGCTAAATAATTTTGTTTCCTATACCGTATATACAGAAATATACTACGCGCGTAGGAGTTTACACAAAATAACTCCGACGTTGATAAAGTTGATATCCAAACGGATTCAAATAACGAATAACTTTTCTCAGCAAAAAGAAAATAACACTTTATAAAATCCATTTTCTGCTTGAATTTACAAAACAAATTTATCTTTACTGCTATATTCGCTAGACGCAAAAAGAAACCTTAACCACATATTTGGAAAACGTTTTCACAAAGAAAAATGTCTCAAATTTCACGTGAATTCATAACATTGTAAATCGTAAATTTTCTTATAGTACAAAATATTTAAAATTTAAATACCTTCCATAATTATATATATATATATAAGAACCTTCTATAAATAGAATATGTTATTGTTGGCGCTACGATCGTCACCCCCACCTCGCTCACCCACACTTGTAAATTCTCTTGCAAGGGAGACACTGTGCAAAGCAGTCACAATAAATGTGTATGCCTTATAACTCGGATATCCATAAGTTGCTGAAGATATGCGTAGTCGACGGACCAAATAATAATGCGAATGGTACAGTATTTAATTAAAAATGCGAGTTTTAATGCATAAACATTTATTGTGACTGTTTTGTGCAGTCTCCCTTGCAAGAGAATATACAAGTGTGGGTGAGCAAGGTGGGGGGTGACGATCGCAGCGCCAACACTTATAGTACAATGGCATAAGAAGTAAAATATAGAGCATATGATGTACTGAGACCATTGCGCATAAAAATTAATACTGTAGAGTCCCGAAAACTCGAAATAATGTGGACCGAGGGTAGCCGAGTTTTTTTGGGTGGGGTTTAAAAAAGAATTACGAGTGTTTTTTCAGAAAATATTGTAATGCTCTTTAAAGTATACTTTTTAGAATACAACAGAAGATAAACTGCTAAGTAAAAGTACGTGTTTTATGAAGGCTTAAAGCATTTACTACAGGAAAATGAAAATTAATGAATACGTAGTATACAGTAATTTATCTACACACACACATAATATATATATATATATATATATATATATATATATATATATATATATATATATATATATATATAAAGAAAATTAAGTAAATTCCTACTTAGATCAACAAAGAAAAATTTTATTTTAGCTACTTTTTATTAAATAGTTACAATTAATAAAGGGTTTTTTTAGAGGTATAGAACTTTAAATTGCAATAAAACAAAGATGTACTATTCGATTGACATGAATTTTTTTGTATTCGAAAGATAATCTTGTCGCATTACATTTTAAATATGATTTCTGGCATAGGACTGCCACGGCTGGCTCGGATGTAGTCCAATCTGGAAGTCCAATTTTCGATGACTTTTTCCAACATAAAGCGTTTGTGGCTTATCCGCATAGACCAATGACTTTACATAACCCCACAGAAAATAGTCCAGCCGTGTTAAATCACAAGATCTTGGAGGCCAATTCACAGGTCCAAAACGTGAAATTAGGCGGTCACCAAACGTGTCTTTCAATAAATCGATTGTGGCACGAGCTGTGTGACATGTTGCGCCATCTTGTTGGAACCACAGCTCCTGGACATCGTGATTGTTCAATTCAGGAATGAAAAAGTTAGTAATCATGGCTCTATACCGATCACCATTGACTGTAACGTTGTAGCCTTCATCGTTTTTGAAGAAGTACGGACCAATGATTCCACCAGCCCATAAAGCGCACCAAACAGTCAGTTTTTCTGGATGTAACGGTGTTTCGACATACACTTGTGGATTAGCTTCACTCCAAATGCGGCAGTTTTGTTTGTTGACGTAGCCATTGAACCAGAAGTGCGCTTCATCGCTAAACAAAATTCGCTTATGAAAATCGGGAACAACGGCAATCTCGTTTTGGGCCCATTCGACGAATCTACGCCTTGCTTGATGATCGTTTTGATGAATTGTCAAACCAAACTGAGAATAAATCACTTGACAGCTGTTAAATCGGTCGCCATCTTGGAAAGTAATTCCAACTTAAACTTCTATACCGGAAAAAAAACACTCTTTATAAACATGTATATATATAGGACAGAATCACAACATTAAGTGGTAATTAATTTTTTTTAATTATCATTAGAGTATCGTATTGTCATTCAAAACAATCGTGTATATAAAATTTCAGTTCAACTGAATGCTTTAAAACGTGAGGGGAAAAAAACCTTTTCAAGTTTTGACTCAAGTCACCAAAATTGTCGCTGTCACCAAAATTGATGCCAACGTAACTCTACTTGTAATTCTATAAATAATTAGTTTTGATAAATTAATTTTTATTAATTATAATTATTATTGTATTGTCATCCAAAATAATCCTGTATATAAAATTTCAACTCTATTGAGCGCTTTAAAATGTATTTTATTAACGACCGAAAGTTCCACCAAGATAAATGAATAAATGCATAGAGAATGTGAGCTAATAGTAGGAATTGGAAAAGTACTTCATGAAGGCATAAAGCTTTCTCTAATGAAAATTAAAGAGACGACTGTGCCAAAATGGACCACTTTTGGCTACTTCTACTACTGGTTAATTGAACAGGTTTGCACGTGGGGGTTTTCCGACTTACAATGGTGTGGTCGAGTTATCCAGGCTGCCGGGTTATCGAGTGCAGAGTTTTCGGAACTCTACTGCAATATAACAAGTAATATAAAAGAAAATTTTTACGTCAGTCCCTACTTAGGTCAACAAAGAAAAGTTTTATTTTAGTTTTTTTTTTAAATAATTGCAATTAATGTAAATATGTATATACATATGGCAGAATCACAATATTAAGTAATAGAGAGAAAGCGGTTTTCCTTGCAATTTTCCATTTTCCTTTCTATATAGTGTTGGGCTATTATTTTTGTTACTATTTATTCATTAATTAAATTTAATTATTCCATAAAATAGTATAGTAAAATGAAATCACATTTTTCTCAGACATTAGGCCGTCCCAGATGGGATTCGAACCCACGACATTTGGATTAGAAGTCCAACTACCCAATGCACTACAGGGACAAAACGAGCGATTTTCCTTTTTATTTATGGTGATGGGCTATTACTTTTATTTTGCTACTAATTATTCATTAATTAATGAGTTAATATTTGAAAAAAAAACTGTCTTAACATCAAGTGTCATCCACTATAAGTTTTAAAAAATATATTTGACCTTGAGTGGGTGAATAAAAGGTATTTTACTGCGATTGAAAATTGAACAAGGTATATACATTTATATATATACATTTATTGGAAGAGTGTGAACTCTAATAGTAAGAATTGTAAAAAATATTCCAATTTTTGAATCTGATTTATTAACAATGCACAAAAGCATGTTTAATACAAGTAAATATCACCTCCTCAAATCCATTTTAGCAAGGTTTACAAATGATTATTTGCTTGTAACAATAAATTGCTTCTCATTCAATAATACAGTCTTAATAATCCCACGTAACGATCTTCTTCATCAAAGAACATATATTTTTAGAACCCTTACAACATTATTTGGAAAACAAAGCTTTAGTTAATATTTTAAACTAACTAAAGTGTCCTAGGTAATAGAGAAGCGCAATACATCGCGACGTATTCTACTAAATCGCATTACAACACTTTTAATCTGTCAAATGCTTATGAATCTCGTGTTAAGTGAATTTTTTTGTTTTCTTTCTTTCCCCTATCTGTTCGCAATTAAAACAGAAAAAGGAAAACCCTTGTCATTGGAGGATCAAGACATAAACCAAATCGGATTCGTTAATTGTGGCATTATTTTAAGTCAAATTACGAACGACGAAGATTACAGGGATTCTCTTTTCCCTGCCGCCACGTCAAATTAAACGCACTTTCTTAAGCCCACCCCCTTTGGGAAACAATTGCAGCAGAAAAGAGAATGTTTCACAGTTTGCTCCTGAGCAGATGTTTTCACTGCATGACAGATTATGTCGGCAAACGTTCAACTTATGCATTATTAATCGATATTTAATGGGAAGGTTTGTTTTAATGTCTCTAGACAATGAAGGCCACAAAACCACCGACAGATTTTCAGATATATCTCCGTCCAGATTTATAAAAGGTAAGGATGAAAATTCTAAGTTCGATGCTAAAGTATTTAGAAGAAAAGAGGTTTAGTCGTTCTGTTAGAGCCTGCAGATACATTTCCCAGTTTTCCCAAATGGACTCTTGTTTTTAAATTTAATTGAATGTAGTTATTATTTTTCTGGAATGAGGATCGTTTTGTTAACTTAATCCTTTAAAATGCTTTTATCAAAAAAATAGCTAGAGGAGGAATTTTTAACATTTTACTGTTTCATTTTGATATCTCGCTGCTTAATCTGTCCTTACATAATGTAAAGAATAGGAACTGAATTCGGAATTTTTTTTTCAAATTAAATTAAATTTTGACTGCACTGTACTGAAAGGAACATTACACTGTACATTGTAGGAAAACAATTGTTCAGCTCTTTGCCAACTAATGGCTGCACGATCCAAGTGAGTTTAATAAACAAGGGGAAAAATGCACATTTTTTAGAACACTATATTTTGAAAAGTAATTAATTTTTAGGATTAATTTCATATTTTTATATTTTGGCATTTGTAATTTACTACCTTTTGCATTTTATGTAAACCAACTGTATTTTTTTTATACTTGTAAATCTGGAAGCAATTTCTTTGATACCTTATCTATTTTACCGGATTAACAACAGTCGGTTTTCAAACATCAGACTAGATGCAACGTTTTGATGTTTGCCTAATAAAATAAAAGTGTTCTTCGAGTTTCGAAGCAATTTTCCATACTTTAATGTTATAGAATCAAACGTTCATATCATACATTGTGCAACTTTTTTTTGTGTTTAAAATGAAATTATCTAATTCATTTTTACTACTACAAAATGTAATCTGTATATAGTCTTTATGCTGTATTATTCAGAGGGTTTTATATTTTACATGATAGAGTGAAAGACTGATATAGTCATAAAATTTTTCTCTATCTTCAAGACGTTGTATTATAAACGTAGAATTGAGCCATAAAACACGAACTTAATACGAAAGTTGGAAAACTTCTCCCTCCAAAAAAGTGTTCCAATCTTGATACGGGCTCTTAAAAATCAGGCAAAGATAGCTTAAAATGCAAGATTTAAATTTAAAAAATTTTCAAAGTTAAAAAAATGGTTTTGATCTTACAATTTATTTTAACTAATGAGCAATAAGCAAAATATTTTGAACGTATTTTTTTCTTATTCATTTAAAGGGTGTTTTTTTGAGAGGTATAGAACTTTAAATTGCAATAAAACAACGATGTATTATTCGATTGACGTGAATTTTTTTTATTCGAAAGATAATCTTGTGGTATTACATTTTAAATATGATTTCTGGCATAGGACTGCCACATCTGGCTTGGATGTAGTCCAATCTGGACGTCCAATTTTCGATGACTTTTTCCAACATTTGTGGCCGTATATCGGCAATAACACGGCGAATGTTGTCTTCCAAATGGTCAAGCGTTTGTGGCTTATCCGCATAGACCAATGACTTTACATAGCCTCACAGAAAATAGTCTAGCGGTGTTAAATCACAAGATCTTGGAGGCCAATTCACAGGTCCAAAACGCGAAATTAGGCGGTCACCAAACATGTCTTTCAATAAATCGATTTTGGCACGAGCTGTATGATATGTTGCACCGTCTTGTTGGACGCTAGTTTTCAAATCCTAGTGTTACGCTAGTTTTGAAATCCTACTATTAATTCACACTCTCCCTATACATATCTTGCTCAAATTTTCAATCGTTAATAAAATACATTTTAAAGAGCTCAATTGAGCTGAAATTTTATGAACACGATTATTTTGAATGATAATATGGTAATTTAATTATGACTAATAAAAATTAATTGATTAAAACTAATTATTTAAAGAATTGCAAATACAGCCACGTTGGCACCATTTTTGGCAACTTGTGTCAAAACTTGGAAAGGTTTTTTTTTTTCACACGTTTTAAAGCATTCAGTTTAACTGAAAATTTATACACACGATTGCTTTGGATGACAATACGATGCTTTAATGATAATTAATAAAAATTAATTGCCATTTAATATTGTGATTAAGCCATATGTATATACATATTTATATAATAATTGTTATTATTTAATAAAAAGCAGCTTAAATAAGTAATAAAAAAGTAAAATAAAAAATTTTCCTTGTGGACCTAAGTGGAAATTGACTTAATTTTTTTTATATTACTTATTTTTAACACAAACAGAGGATTAAAGTTTCTATATTGACATAAAAAATAATGGGTACCTGAGAAATAAATTTGTTGTGAGAATCTTCAACTAATTATGTTATTCACTTTCAAGGAGATTTAATCACAAACAATCTGTATAACAAACACAACATAAAACAACACTGGGTATGAATTAGACTAAATTAATCCTTAAGGCATAATGTCTTAGACAATATAAATAAACAATTGCATATGATTTACAAATACCCTTTTCTAAAGTACTATTTAAATATCAAAACGAATGAAGAGACATACCGACGACAAATTAAAATTACATTTCCCTTCAGTCTCATTTCTAATGACTTAGATCAGTTTTCCTCTCTCGGATGTTATTGTTGCGGTTTCAAAAATTGAATTTTTACCTGTCAGCAGTTACATCTGTGTGAGTGGCAGTGCGATTTCACATAATAAGATTTCTTCTCGCCTTAAACGCGTTGACGTCTCTTGCTACCGTTTAATAAATATTTCAGTTTATTTTGAATTTAACCGAAATTTGGTTAGACAGTATTGACCTGAAAATATATCAATCGGTGAAATTAGATAAAAGTGGAAGTGAGAGAGAGAGAGAGAGAGAGAAGAGCTCTCCTAATACCTGAGAAGTTCGATAAAGTGTTTTCGTGTTTATATATATTTCCCCAGGAGAAATACAATTCTTTTAGATTTATTTGTCTGGTTTTATTTTAAGCAAAATGCTTCTTATTCCATTGGTACTTTTATTTAATACGAACAAGTGACTTCCGCAAAGTTGTTTTGTCGTTTTATAATTGTTTATAGTCAAATTTTTCTGATGCAATTTTTTTTTTGTTGTTTTGTATTTTCTTGATTTGAAGTTTCAGGATTTCATTTAACGACACCGAATCTTCTGATAAGGCGGTCAAATTTTGGTTTAAATCTTTTGCCATTGATAAATTGGTGATCTTGAAGGTGAACTTCGATTGCATGTAGTCCGATATTGATGCTGTACCTATGTTACAGTTTTTTATTTGATACGCTACTCAACAAATTACGCTTACTTTTTGCGGTGAAGCTATTTTGAAGCAAGAATGCTACAAAATATATTTTCTTTTTAATATAAACTTCATTTAAATATAGTTTACAAAAACTAAAAAACACCCTTTTATAGATAATCGAACTAAGTTGTGACAATCTTTTTGTCGCCAAATCTGGAAATGGGATCTGAAATTAGTCGCCAGATGTGGTATGGGATCTGAAAATGGGAAATCGTTAATCCTGATGATCCTGATCAAGGCAATGGAACAAAACTATGAAATTATTGAATTGTCATCGGTCCTGGACAAGTGAGCAAAATTTCGAATTAATCTGACCTTTTAAAGTGGGTAAAAATCGAGTTCAAAGATTCCGTTACATACAAGTGAAACTTATAAAAGGGTATTAAGAAATATATACTATAAAGTATGCTTAACCACGAAAATGCTTAAGACGAAAAATATCTGTTAACACGAAAGAATACAACAATCCCGACGAACTACTATGTATTTTCATGCATTTTTCTCTTAATACGAAACGAAAATCGCTTAATACGAAACTATTTTCCTTCCCTTAATGAAATGTTTGAGAAATATTCTGCATTATATTCGACTGACCTACTGCATCATTGGAAGAATTCGTTATAGTATACAATGATAATACGTAACCATCTCCAATTTTATGGCAGACAAATACATTTTGGAGTTCGCTCAAAGCTCAAAAAATATCATTGATGCAGCTTCCGAAGACGAAAATGAAA